TGACAAAAATTCATTTTCTGGCTTTATTAGGCATCAAAACGCATCAAACCCTAATAGAAATTTGTTTCTAAATGCCTCAGGAACCATACTGCGTCGTCAAAGTGCCGAAATATTCATTTTTTTATTTTCCGCATGTGCATATTCGGACCCTCATTTTTTAGGTTTAGTTCACCCGTTTTGCCGCCTGCACTATTTATATATGCAATACTTTGTAGTTTTATATCTTTTGTTATTCTGTCAATAGAATTTTATATTTGTGTTTAATAAAAACAACACATATAGGTCTAAAATTGACATTCAATATAGGAATAAAAGAGATATTCTGTGACATTTAATTAATTTATATCGTACGTATTTATTAATCAATTATTAAAGATTTATTTAACACTATTCAATATAATTTTTGCATTCTTAGAAACAGATTGTTAACAATTACTGGTCCTCTCTGTCTTTTCATCAGAATGATTATTCATCATATAAATTCTTGAAAGAACATCGCCACATCTACCTTCTATTTTAATGTCTGCAAAATCGTCTGCTCTAGTCTTGCCAATATTTACTATGGCTATAGGTAATCCAGCATTGTTAGCTTGCAATATTATTCGATAACCAGAAAATGTGGTTAATGAGGTTCCTAGCACCAGTAAGGAATCTGAATGCTCTACATTATATTTCACACTTTCTACTGTTGTACGTGGTACATTATCTCCAAAAAATACGATATCTGGTTTGAGAACCCCATTACAATTCTCACATGATGGAACAATAAATCCATCCACTTGTTCCTAATAAAATTTACATCTGATTGTTTTAAATTCAAGCAACTTTTTAAACTTAGTACATTTGTATATCACTTACTTGTGATAAATCTACATCTCCATCAGGTCTTATCATTTGAGCACTTGCTGTCATATTTGGATTTAGTCTATCTAAAATATCTTGTAAATGATATCTACATATTCTTTGATCGCATTTAAGACACATTACTTTGAATGCTGTTCCATGTAATTCAATGACTCTCCTACTACCTGCTTTTGTATGTAAATTATCCACATTTTGAGTAACAATGCACCTTATTTTTTTTCTATCTTCTAATTTTTTTAATATTTCATGAGTAACATTTGGTTTAACAGAAGAGAACCTATATTAACATTTTCAGAAATAATGATATTTGTACATTTATAGTTATTTTTATGAAGGCAAATTACAACCTTGGCCACCCAACATAATTTCTAGCCCAATATCGTCGTCGAAGAACAGCACTATTACAAAAATCTTGATACAATATGGGTCTACGACTACTTCTTGCATAAAGTCCAACACCTTCAGATCTATAATCAGGAATTCCACTTTCTGTGGAAACTCCAGCTCCTGTTAAAATACATATCTCATTGTGGCTATCAATAAATTCTTTTAACTTTAATATATCTGAATCTTTCACTGTTTCACATTTTGGTACGAATGTAAGATCTGACAGTGATGACTTAGCTGTAAAATGATTTATTTACATTTTCAATATTACAATATAATACTATAAAAATAACAATTAATTACGCAGACTACTTACATAATAACGTTTTAATTTTATTTACAAATTTATGCTGCTTTGTACAAATAAAACTCATTTTTAAATTAAGTATAACATTATTCGCACTAATTAAAAAATTCTATGTATGAAAAATACATAAAATTTACAGTCAATTTATTATTAATTCTAAATTCTAAAATACCATATTGGGTTCATAATACTGAACAATATCAGTAACTAATATTAAAAACAATGCATATCAACATTTTGACATGGTACTTAGAGCCACCTTACCGCAGAACGCAGAACTACAATTAAGTTATAAGGTAAGATCAAAGAAGTGCCAATCTATACTGGTATTCGCACGAGTTTTCGAACACGATAGGGTGAAAGAATTGCCTACAAAACATTCTGAAGTTAATTAGTCTTGCATATTGTTCTAATTTGATGCATATTATAGTAAATTAAGCCAAAAATGGGGTTTTTTCGAAAATGGAACAAGTGGTATTAATCCTCAAAAAATTTAGCACGTGAAAATGATTGAACGTACATCTTCATCGTCCCTTTGGGACCAAGATTTGTCTTCATCACATCTTGAATTCCTTTCGCAGCTGATATATTGATAGCTAACGCCTGGGCAGCTCTGGCAAATTCAGCTTTTGGATTCAATAAACTAATTGCAGCCATTTTATCAAGTACTTGTCACAATTCCCAAAATGTCACAAAATTATTTTCCTTCCGTCGCTTTCTTTCGGTGATTACAATAGGGCTGAATAGTGCCTAGTATCGAATGGGTGATGTTCGCATTTAATAATCTAGGGATTTTCCATTCTACAGGTACTTTTTATAAAATGAAACAAATAAAAGGATCTTTGATATTTAGTTACATAGAATACTTTGTGATAAATAATTTATTTTTCCTAATGATATATTGTTGTATTTCTAGAACAATCTAGGATCTAGAAATATATCACTAGTCTAGAAGTGGCTAAGTTCATATTCTAGTTCTTTTTTTTTATTTTCACTAAAATTTAATGAGTGGCGCCATCTCTCCGGCGAACAGGGTGAACTACACACTTTTGAAACTGCAGTTTAATTAGTTCACATTTTCTACACTAGAGGGGGCACACATGCGCCCCCTAGCGTGGAAAATGGGAACTAATTAAAGTACAGTTTCAAAAGTGTGTAGTTCACCCCGTTCGCCGGAGAGATGGCGCCACTCATTAAATTTTAGTGAAAATAAAAAAAAAGAACTAGAATATGAACTTAGCCACTTCTAGACTAGTGATATATTTCTAGATCCTAGATTGTTCTAGAAATACAACAATATATCATTAGGAAAAATAAATTATTTATCACAAAGTATTCTATGTAACTAAATATCAAAGATCCTTTTATTTGTTTCATTTTATAAAAAGTACCTGTAGAATGGAAAATCCCTAGATTATTAAATGCGAACATCACCCATTCGATACTAGGCACTATTCAGCCCTATTGTAATCACCGAAAGAAAGCGACGGAAGGAAAATAATTTTGTGACATTTTGGGAATTGTGACAAGTACTTGATAAAATGGCTGCAATTAGTTTATTGAATCCAAAAGCTGAATTTGCCAGAGCTGCCCAGGCGTTAGCTATCAATATATCAGCTGCGAAAGGAATTCAAGATGTGATGAAGACAAATCTTGGTCCCAAAGGGACGATGAAGATGTACGTTCAATCATTTTCACGTGCTAAATTTTTTGAGGATTAATTTTGTTTTTTAAATAATGTAAAATGAAATGAAATGCACAAAACTATATAAAACGTTTTGCGTTAAATATTTTATGTTAGAGGAAATTAGATCACGTGTAAGATGTTGCTATTACTTTATTATCCTTATTAGGATATGATTGATACTTCGAGAAGTACCGGTAGCACGATGTGGAGAGGGAATAAATTTCATTGACTATTCAGTTTGATTTTTAAATTCAAAATTACATTTAATAGATCAGATATAGCATGCATAAATACGTATATTTATATTTTATATATATATAATTGCTAATCGTTTTATTATTTATTTTAAAGGTTAGTGTCTGGAGCAGGTGACATTAAAATCACAAAAGATGGAAACGTATTACTTCATGAAATGCAAATACAGCACCCAACAGCTTCTTTGATTGCTAGAGCATCCACTGCTCAAGATGACATTACTGGGGATGGTACAACTAGTACTATATTAGTCATTGGAGAATTTTTAAAACAAGCAGATATTTATATATCAGAAGGCCTTCACCCTAGAATGCTTACAGAAGGTTTTGATCTAGCTAGGGCTAAAACATTAGAAGTATTAGATTCAATGAAAATTCCACTTGATCCAGAGAAAGGGTTATTAGATGTTGCAAAAACCTCATTGAGAACTAAAATACATCCTACCATAGCTGATAAATTGGCTGAAATTTGTGTAGAGGCAGTTTTAGCTATCAGGCAAAAAGATCAAGAAATTGATTTGCATATGGTTGAACTGATGGAAATGCAACATAGAACTGCAGCAGACACTTCTTTGGTTCGTGGTATTGTAACAGATCATGGATCCAGACATCCAGACATGCCTAAAAGAGTAGAGAATGCTTATATATTAACTTGTAATGTTAGTTTGGAGTATGAAAAGAGTGAGGTAATTAAATTGACTTACAAACAATGCAAATATATTATTTTCTTATGTAAAATAAAACTATTTAATTATACAGGTAAATAGTGGTTTCTTCTATAAAACTGCAGAAGAGCGTGAAAAACTTGTAGCAGCTGAACGTGAATTTATTGATAATAGAGTAAAGAAAATAATTGAACTGAAAAAGAAATTGTGTGATGGAACAAATAAATCATTTGTTGTTGTAAATCAAAAAGGCATTGATCCCCAATCTTTAGACATGCTTGCCAAAGAAAACATTTTAGCTTTACGTAGAGCAAAACGCAGGAATATGGAACGTTTAGCATTAGCCTGTGGTGGAATGGCTATGAATTCAGTTGATGATTTGAAAGAAGAACATTTGGGATGGGCTGGTCTTGTATATGAACATGTATTGGTAAATATTTTGCAAATCATTTAAGTATCTAAATTATTTACGTATAAAATAATAAATATAAATATTATGCAATTACAGGGAGAAACAAAATACACATTTATAGAAGAATGCAAGAAACCAAATTCAGTCACGATTTTGTTAAAGGTAAGTTTTTGAATTAATGTGTTATTTTATAATCTCTAATGTGAAAACGTATTTTAGGGGCCAAATAAATACACCTTGGAACAATTAAAAGACGCTGTAAGAGATGGCTTGAGAGCTATCAAGAATGCTATTGATGATGGTGCTGTAGTTCCTGGTGCTGGTGCTTTTGAAGTAGCTGCTAATCAAGCACTCCATCAATACAAAGAAAAAGTTAAAGGAAAACAGCGCCTTGGTGTACAAGCTTATGCAGAAGCTTTACTAATAATTCCAAAAATTCTTGGTAAGTAAGATACTCTAAATTGTTGTACCTTTGAAATTGTTATTCACGTCAGTATTATTTTTTATTTAGCTGTAAACAGTGGATTTGATGCGCAAGATACGATTGTAAAGTTATTAGAAGAAGCATCTTCATTGGGTGAACCTGTTGGGCTGGATATTTCAACGGGTGAAGCGTTAAAACCCGCAGATGCTGGAATTTTTGATAATTATAATGTAAAAAAGCAGATTATCAATTCGTCGTAAGTATTTATGAGGATTCAACCAGATGTCGAGAATAAAATCTAAGTTGCACCGAGTTAAAATATGTTTATATTTTTTTATTTCAGCACGATCATCGCAAGCAACCTACTTTTGGTTGATGAAATAATGAGAGCAGGAATGTCATCTTTGAAGGGTTAAATCATGAATGATAATTCCTTTAATTTTAAAAGTATTCAAAAAAAAAAGATTCTTTAACTTAACTTAAATAATTACATTTGTATGATTTCTTGAATGTTTTGCTTACTTTCTACATTTTTATAAAGCTTTCACTTAATAAAAAATACATGCACACAATAACAAATAAAATGCTACTTTTGAATTAAAAAGAAAAAGAAAATACAAGATGTTTGTTGTTCATTAATTTCCCATTCATGATAGGAACATAAAATATAATTCATAATTTGTCAAAAATATACTTGCTTATCACTTTGCATAATTAATAATTTAAATAAACTAAAATAATCGTTTGTACAGATGTCTCCTTTGATGAAATCAACGTAAAAAGAAGTTTGAAGTTTGATGTATCGTGTTATAAAAATTGAACTAGAAATGATAACCACTTTTATTATAAAAATCAAAAATATTTATGTGAAATTTTTATATTACACGATATTTACAATCATTTATAAACTAGATTATTACTTCACAGGACACTCAGTCTTTTCATACAATTCGTTCATCTACTATGTTAATTTCGATGTTAAACGGATCAATTTAAACATACACATAAGAAGTGAAAAGAATACAACAAAGTATTAATAATTTTACACACGCGTACACTATTTCGGGGTAATATGTATTGTGTATAATATAATACGCAAAATTTATTTTCACTGATGCTCATAACTAAACGGTGATACTTGTACTCGTGTATTATTATTTTTAAAACTTAGTATTATCGATTCGGAATAAAACATAACGCAATAATATCATTAATGTTAACAATAGTTAACATTTACAAGAACTGGATAATGCACATACACATTGTATGTATCTATACATCATCCTTAACAATTGATTATTGATAATTATATACGTCTTCAATTTTGTTAGACGTTTTGAAAGATTTCGTGTTAAAATTTGAAAACCAATGATCAATAAAATAAAAGTGCTGTATCATCAAACATTATATAGTAAAAAATAAATACCCCTAATATTTCTTTTCTCAAAACACATAGCTGATGAATATTGATATACTCAAGATAATTATGCTATAATACTGCATTTTGATTTTAAAAAATGTTTTCTCTCAGCATATAGCGTTGCATGGTAGGTTATCTGTTTTAACAATCTTAATCAAAATTCTTTATACGCTGGCAACATTTCATATACAACATTGACATTGTTGTATAACGTACGATGTATAACCTTTAATAATAATGTACAATTATACATAAATCAGTGATACACTGTTAAAATATCAACGTGAAAACAAGAACTGTCCACTTTTTTATCCAATTAAAATAACTCCAATTTTCCAGTAAGTCAATACGTAAAAGGACAATGCAATTTTATGACAATTATAAATTACTTCTCTTTTGTATTTAAAAATTTCTAAATATACACTAGAAGAATATAGGCACAATGTACGATCATTGAACAATCAATTATGATGCCTTTTCTTATATGTACGCCTTGCATTACAATACAAAAAGAAACAATGAATTTTATAAAAATTCATTAATACGTCTTCTACATATAATGTTACAGAAAAGCACATAATACCACATATGCTTTGGTTAATGTGAACCATTATATCAGTGATTGTGTACAATAAATATTTATACATCATAATGTCAAATTAAATCCTAAGTGTAAATTATTTGCTTTCAACAGTAAATAACGTTTTCCTTCGCATCTCCAAAAACTATTTCAACTTTTTAATGGTTGCCATATTTTTGATATCATACTTAACATCTTGTAGTATTATTTTTGGGTTGATGTTGATTAACTGTGCCAGAGTAGTACAATTCACTTTCATCCGATGGCCTCCAACTACCATGTACGTATTTAACTTTGCTAAATTAACAGGTATTCTAGGAAGGCCATAATATGAAAATCCTTTACATTGTACCGACTGTTGCTGATCGTTCATTTTATTATTAAAAAGATATCTCGAATGTGGATTAGTCGATTTTCGAGCGACTGCCTTTATCTTGTACGATATAAGATTGGGTCGAATAGAATTTTTAGTCGTAGACTTTCTAGCCACCGCATGACTCTTCGCTGGTTCGATCGAAACTTCAACCTGATCTTGTGAACTCGATTTCTGCCATTTAACTTTAGCCATAATACTTTCCAACTGTGCCTCATAATTCTGTATACTTTCTATCTTTAATTCCATGTCTGGATGTTCCTCAGCATTATGCGAAGACACTTGAGAAGCAGAACTGAAGGTTTTATCACAATATTTACATTTCAGAAGATTGATATGCTTGGATACATGGCTTTTCATCACGTTTATAAACGTTGTCGTGAATGAGCACTCAGGACACGTGTATCCCTTAAGCATCCTAGTCCTATCTTGTTTTTTAAAGTTCAACGGCAAATGCGAATGGAACATACTGTGATGTGTTTTTATCTTAACTTCAGAATCGCACAGTTCGTTACACCACTGACAAATCCAACCGTCCTTCGTTCCCGACGCTTCTATTATTTGTACATCGTCGTGCGATTGTTGCAAATACAGTTCATATGGAGTTTCCGTTTCCGTTTTAGAACACTGAGCTTTCACAATTGGCTTCTCTGATAACAAATGTATTTTTTTGTACCTAAATGGACAATTTGACTTCAATTTTAAACTGTCATTTTCTAATTTCGATTCACTGTGCACCAAAGTCCAGTGATTTTGAACCATATCCAAAGATCTGCTACGGAAGCTGCAATAGAAACAACAGTAGCCTATCTCATCGTCCGTTGAATCAGAAATCTGTTCCTCCTCTATGTCATCGTTATAGTCATCAGAGAAAGATTTATTATCCTCTTTAACATTTTCGGAATCTCCTAATGATTCAGAAGTCGGTATGTCCTCGGATTTGAACGGTGAAAACGGATGGTTTTGTTTCCAATGTTCCCAAAGATCTGTCTTTGTCGATGCAGCAAACGTGCAATACGAACACTTCAACGTGTTCTTTGGCGAGTGTATTCGCATGTGTGCTCTCAAACCTGTTAAATTCATCGCGGTAAAACTGCATATATTACATTTCTCCTGTGTTTCGGAATTGTTAGCCTGTTCTTGAGTCGCATCGTGATCGGGAACTTTCTCGTCACTTATTTTCCTCTTACGTTTTTTGGATCTTTTTGGAAACCCGTATTCGGTCTCGGATAGATTTTGAATCAGTTTCTCGGGACAGTTGCGGTGTTTCAGACGCATATGTTGCAGCATTAACTTTTCACACTTTGTGGTGCGATCACAGTAAGGACATTTGAATCCAAGTCGCTTTAAATGGGCGTATTGAACGTGTAAGTTATAGCCTTGCCACCGATTGAATGTCATCTTACAGTATTTACAAACGTACGTTTTTTCTCGCTCGTCCTCTGCTCCAGCTACCATAAATATAATTAATTTTTATCATATTTTACTTTTTAGAAATTTGAAAATTACGTCAAAGGTTAGGAGTTACTTACCTTTATCGGATTCAGTTGTTTTTTCCGTTTTCTCTTTGTCGTCTCCCATATCGATGATGAGACTGTCGTTATCTTTAACATTTTCATCTTGTACATTTAAATTGACTTCAACATTTTGAACTTTGCTGTCTTTTGTATTTGGAGATTTACCAGCAAGATTTGTGTTCTTTGAAGTTTTAGTTACAGTATTTTGAGTAATTTTATTGGGGGATGATTTATTATCACTTCCAGAAGTGTTTACGACTACAGGTGTGTCTGTATTATTTGCATTTTGCTTAGATAAAAATTCTTTTATCATAAGTGTTTGTCTCTTCAATAGTGTGCCAACCTATGGGAAGAGAAATATTAACAAACACGTTTAAAAAAAATGAAAATTTGATTATTTATAAAATTACCCATTCTTCGATATCATCGTCCGGTGATAATGGCTCGTGATTAGGACGTTCTCCATTATGATGTTTAGCAAAATGTTTAAACAACGCATTACGATTGACAGATAAATATCCACATTCTTGACAGTGCCACCTACAATAGTTACAATGTTATATATCTAACCTAAATAAAAATTTCTAGTAGACTATAAGAATATTTACCTCGCATAATTTAACTCCCTAAAAAGATGATCTCTCATATCATGTTTGTATTTGGATTTAAACTGCGTGCACAAAGTGCAAACGTACATGTTACCATCAGATTTTCCATAAGGGCCAAATCTACCAACATCCGAATCATTGGAGTCATTATCTTCAATCAATTTAGTTTTCGCTTCTTTATTTTTATCAATTGCTGCAGAAGTGTCTTTCACATTTTCTGCATCTGCCTTATCACCGAAAAGTGTCCGTTTACATTTGTCCTTCAATTGTTTCGAATCATCTAGGGAACTCGACTTTCCTGGTTTTATCTTAGCCGGCTTAACGGCTGCCAAATCTGAATCGCTCTTTCGTTTTCCTGCTTTTAACGAAGACTCCGTTGATCCTTCATCTTCCTCTTCCAAAAGAATTCCACGTATGTGTCTAATACGAGGCATGTCTCTTCTCCACAGAGGAGTAGTGTCAAACGGTTCATCTTGTCCACCTTGCTCAATGTTATCTGCACTTTTCTTATTAACACCTTTTATCCTCTGGTACATCAGAATATAGTCTACGTTCGCATCGTTAGGGTGTTTGCTATTGATATGTTGGTCGAACATAATTTTTCCACTGGTTTTAAATGAACACAAATTGCACTTGTACTGACATTTTTCATCATGCGTTACAGTAGCATGATTAACCATTTCTGCCTTGTAGACGCATTTATAGTCGCAGATATTACATTTCCAGTGATTTCCATCTGGGTCAGGTGCTTGTTCTTCGACCTCTTCTTGCACAGACTGCTGATTATTCTCTGTGTTTTCCAACTCTCTGATTACCTTGACAAAGGGTCTTTTCTCAGGGTGCTTGTCAGAAAGATGTCTCTCCACAACGTGCCTGATAAATGATTTATTACTATTAGAAAGCATAGAAAATGATCTAGGAAGAATTTAAATTACTAAAAACATTTGATAAGCATACTTCATATTATCTGTTTGCAAAATTAAGATACAATAAAAATATTACAGATTAATTTTTTCTGCTTTTCAAATGTTTAGTAAATATATCAAGTTATTTGGAAATTAGTAATTTGCATGATTCATAGATCAATCAGTGCATCCTATCACTGTGTACCTATGATAATGGTGGTGATTGCAGTGAGAACATTTGTAAAGTCTTGTATCATGCATTTTCAAATGAACAGCCATTTTATCGATCGCTATGTTTAATCCTTCTTGACCTGGAGGAGGTTGCGGACAATGAGGACATCGAAAATATTGTTCTTCAGAGTGCAAAGCCTTTAAATGGCACCTTAACATCGCTTCATCGACCGTTAAATAATTACATTCAGCTACACCGCACACGTATCTATTATGAGTAAATATTATATCGTTATGTTTCTACATTTATTTTTAACACTTATCAAATTGGCAGAATAACATTCAAAACCTTTACATTGGCGTAACTAGGATTTTAGGGATTTGAAAATTTAGGAATATTACAATATTGGAAGATTAAGAGATTAGGGTCAACGTATTTAGTTATGCCAATGTACGTAGCAGAAGTCATTTACTTGCCTCTTATGTTCTGGTACAAATTTTGGAATGAATTCATCGTCGTTATCTTTAACAGGTTCCTTTGGTTTCCCTCCCATCCGGCCATTCTGATGAGAGCTACTTGCCAAATTCACCATTTTATCAAACATTCGTTCTTTCTTATCTAAACAAGGCACAGGATTAACAGGGCCGCTCTCTGGTACGCTTTCGTCTATCGCGTGCAATCGCAAATGTCTTATAATGTTCGTCCGAACTTTTGTCGTGTATGGACATACGGCACATTGTACTGCACGAATGTATATGGCTTGCAGAGGTAGAGAGTCTATTTCGTCAGGACCGAAAGAAAATTTCTCCAGATCTGTAGATACCTTTTCACCTTCTTTGTCCGCAGACTTTGTACTTTTACGTTTCTTTCCCTTTCGTTCGCCACTTTGAAACTGTATAGAAATAGCAATCGTTAAAATATAATTAAATAGTACTTAGTGCTCCTTACAATATAATTAAATAATATACACTTACAACAGGTTGTACAATAAAAAGACCATCTACAGATGGATTCTTTGGATCAGCTGGAACCAATTTACTGTAAGCATATTTATGTTTCATTTTCATGTGTGCTATCGCTTGGTAACCAACTGTGCATCTCATCTTACACAGTGAGCAACCAAATCGTTTCAACCCATGAGACTTCAAGTGCTCCAGTAGAAATCCAACTTTGATGAAACGTTTATTGCAGTGAACACAATTCAAGCATTTATTAGGACCGCGCGATGCGCATTCTTTTATATGCACCCTTAAAGTACTTGCAGTCTGTGCACCATAATCACATGATTCATAGCCACATCTGTACAACTTTGTCCCTATAAAACCTGTGTCTTTGATATCTTCTAGTGTCATTGGCTTATCTGATTTTTTAACGGGGCTATTATTACTAGAATTTTTAGTAACATCGGTAGATGCGTTTACATTTTCAACGTTGCTGTCCAACTGCTCCTTCTTGTCATTTTCTTGTGGGTCTACCTTCGCTTTTTCCTCGAAGTTATCTATTTTCTTTAAATCAGATTTATCATCCTTCGTTAGAACTGTCCCTGCGTCATCAATATCTACAATTTCAATATCACTGTCTTCTGCTTTACTTTCATTTACAGTTGTGTTATTTGTAACATCGCTTGAACAACTATTAACGTTCTTGAGGAAATCGGGATTGTCAAGTAAATTGATATTCACGAACTCGTCAGTGGAGTCAAATGTTCCAGTCGAAGGTTCCAAAGGTTCGATAGCACTGTCAGAGACAATGCTAGCATCTTCGTTCTTATCTAACAAAATTTTATTTGCAGCGTCACTGTTAGAAACAGCCATTACTGACACGTCGACGTCATCCAAGTTGCCAAATAACATTGTGCTTGCATTATCATTACAACTATCGCTTAAAGATAATTTTCCACTTTGAGAAACGTCGGAGTTGATGGAGTTATTCGAGTTGCTGCCCATTCCAAATAAATTATATATTGATTTATTCAGTATCTCGTTTTCATCTTTATTCACCATGTTTAAGTCTTTAGTCAAATTCAAAGATAATTTAGGAGATGTCGGGGTGTTAACGATATCTACTACGATTGGATCTTTAGTATCTTTTCCTTCGTTTTCTAAATCAATTACTTCTTCAGTAAATTTAATATTATCGTCGAACGTTCTTACCACTAGCTGATCTATTACATCTTTATTTCGTACTGGCTGAAATGTGTAATGTAAAATTACAATTACAATTCATACTATTTAGAAATCCAACTTAGAATATATTTCTTACCTGAGGAGGAAGAGATCTTTCAAGAATGTGTGGCAATCGATTGCAATGGAATATACTTAAATGATTGTGCATTTCATTAATGGTATCCGAACCGTTCAAGCAATAAAGGCATTGATACTTGTAAAATCCATGCATCTTATAATGCTGAAATTTGCCATAAAAAAGTCAGTAAACCAAACATTTCAGAATTCAATCAAGTTATCAATAGAACTAACCATCATCAACTGTTCAACTTTTAGACACGTAACACGGCACACATGGCACTTAAATGTGGAGAGAACCGATGCATGTTTATTTTTTAAGTGCGCCATAAAAGACTCAGGAACATAAAAAAACTTGCTGCAATCTGTAAAAAATATTTCTATAAATTTAACTCCTTATTTCAAAGTGATACCAAAGTAATTAAGATAGCAATTATACCATGCTGGCACATGTAAGGATGTATAAAGTCATGCCGATTGACCTCTTCTCTCGTTGGCAATTCCTTTAATAATTTGCCAAGTAAAATTCCATGTTTACCAGGATGAGCTGTTAACTATAAACAAAGTAATGTTATATACAAATTAAACAAAATATGTTGTGTTACAAAGTTTCTTTTCTTGTACCTGATGTACTTGCACGTAAGAAGGAACGATAGCTCGATAAAAACAAAAGCTACATTGGTAACGACAGTGAGCATGTTTGTCCTCCATATGCACTTTCATCTGATTCCAATTCTCCAGTACCATATAACAATAAGCACATTTCTGATAATCAGGTTGTGACCCCTTTTTCTTTTCAGCCTCATTAGTATGCTGAAGATAATGTTGTTGATATTGTGCCAACACATCAGTCGTAAAGCGACAATCACGTTCCATGCATTTGTATAACTGAGCTAATTTAGTCCTTTTCAACATTGCGTTATAAGCGTCTACGGATTTTAATTTAACTACGGTAGTACTTGAAACGGTGGACTCAGCCGATTTCAGTACCGTGGGTGTTCGAACTACTTTGACAATTTTATAGTTCAAATTCGGTGACTGTGGAGATCCTCCAACAGTCACAGTGCGCGTAGTAGTTGGCGTCATGACTGTGGTCTTATTTCCAGAGAGAGGGAAAGGCAACTTGTTGTTTACTGCAATGATTTTCTTTGTCTTTGGAGCAATAGGAATGAAAGTAGCACCACGATGAGCAGCTGTGACAGAAACCGGAGTCGGAGACAGACTTTTTACTGGAATTAATTTCACGGTTTCTGTTGTAGCAGGCATATTTAAAGGTTGTGTAATGGCTACTGCGTTAAGTCTCTTTAAAATAAAAGGTGAATTGGACTTTTTCAGTACAGATACACCTTGACTTTTTATTGGCGAGATTTCAACTGCTTTCCTTATATCATTTATCTGTAACAAAACAAAATAAACATCTACCTTTATGCCAGCTTAATTTATAAAAGAGATTTTTAAAAATATCTCAACTTACAATAGGATTTTCATCGTTATCAGCTCTTGGTGCAAGACTAACTACATTTTCAATTTTCAAAAATGAACACTCCTCTTCTTTCTCTGGATTTAATATACTTTCTGTAGTAACTGGAGTACTCGATTGACTTCCATCTATTACAAAAAATAATTGGTTTTTCGTTTCTCTTTTTTATATCATTACTTAAGTAACCATAACTTTTATACGTACTGCTTTGTGAAGTAGACACATCTTCTTGGGTACCTGGAGACTGTGTAGGTATTGACAACATATCTCCACTCAAACGTCTCAATCTAATAAAGTTCTTAGGTTGATTGCTATCACCTTGCGTTTCTCGCGAAATTTCATGGAATTTATTTTCTAATTTTCCAACAAACTTTTTGATGCTAGCAATAGGCACCACATCTGGTGGTTTGGGAATAGAAACAATTGAAAATGCTCTTTTAGGTTCTTCAGATTGCGACTTCTCTTTGTTAGCATCAAGTGGTTTTGTAGCCTGTAGCTGAGCAGCAAGCCTCTGAATAGTTGTTAGCATTGGATCCTTGGAGGATGCACCAATGCTAGAAGTTTCTTTCAGGATCATATTTACATCTGTGGATGGTTCGCTGTCAGACTGTTCGCTGCTTGAGTCAGACTCATAAATAGGAGCTGAACTCCTGTTTTCATTATCACTGGTTTCTACATCACTTTCATCATTCTTTTTCTGACCCAATCCTGTTGAAGGATCTGCAGCTTTGGAATCAGTTTGTGCTGCTTCAGATGTGGGCTGAGAATCTTCAGTATTTGGTAGACTTGTCTTCAAAACAGAATTCTCAGCCTGCACATCAGTGCAGGTTTCTTGAGGCACTGTATTTACTTCTGAATTCTCTGAGGAAGCTTCTAATATTTTGGAGGTAGGAAGCAATTCAGTGCTACTTTTTTCACACTGAATTGGTGAATTCAGAAAAGTGGTAGGAGTTTTACTAGAAGATTCTGGACTTTCACTACTAGCAATCTCATTATTTTCAGCTAGTAAATTGGTTTTCATTTTATCTTTCAATTTGTCTATAATGGAAAGACCTTTCTTAGATGCATCCTTCTGCAATTTGATACCAATATTCTGAATGATCTCCTGCATTTTCCTCTTCCGTTCCAATTGAATCTCCACTTCTTTCTTTTCCAACTCTGGTGGACAAACGAAAACGCTTAGATTTCCAGTTGATAAGCTTGAATCTGCATCTTCTTGAGTTGTTTTCTTCTTTTTACCATCATCAACTTCAGAGTTGTCTTCCTCCTTTTGTGATTTCATTTCTGCTTCATCCTTTTTCTTTTCTGCAGGAGCAGCTTTATCATCTTTCACTGTTTCTATCTTATTTGCAACGTCGTTTTCATCAACAGAAGATACAGGATCATTCACAGGCTCTTCCAACTTCTCCAAACTCGGTTGAGGTACTTCTTCTTTTATTTTTCCAGCCGCTACGTCTATTTTACTACTAGGTTCTTCCTGAACTGTATCCAAAGACATGTTAATCATTATAATATCTACATATGGAACGTCTTTGTGCCAAAATTTGGCATGCTCCTCTACATTAAACCGTTTCAATTGAATGAAATTACACTTTGAACACAAGTAACCATAAATCCCATTCTTCTCAGGTATATCATCTTCAGTTATTGCTTCAGCGAACGTGTCCTTAAATCGTCGACACACCTTGTAGTAATGAGTTCTCATAGAAGACTTGGCTACTGCCTGATAAGGACAACTGTTGCAGCGAAATCTGTACTCTCCAGTGTGAGTAGTGCAGTGCTCATAAAATGCTTCCATAGCAACCTTTGCAGCACCTTCAGTTAAGAAAGAACAAATCCTGCAACGAAATTTGTAAATTTCTTCAGTCAAAGGTTTTGAGGACTTTGCCTCCATATTAGTATCTTTAGCTTCTTGAATGGCTACCCGAGCATCTGATGTTTGCAATCTAGAGATCAGAATTTCTTTCCCAGGATGACTCAACTTGTAATGATGAACTATGTTCTTGCCAGTGAAAAAACAAAGTAAACATTTGTACCGTTCTTTCCCTGACCACGCATAATATATCAACTTATTCACATCTAAATCTAGAAGTGACCTATCCAACTCTTTAGCTTTCTCTTTCACATCTTTCTTTTCTGGTTCCTTCACATTGGTAGGTTTGAGAGCTTTCTTTTTCTCTGTTAAGTCCACTGATACAGGAGGCTGTTCCACTTTTTGATCTTTCACATCATCATCAGAAATCTGACTGGTATTCTCAAGCTTCTCAGAGTTACCCTGAGTATCATTCAACGAACTGACCTCACTAACCTTGTCTTCTGATGGTGAAGAAGCATCTGCTTTTATTGAACCTAACTCACTACTACTATTGAGATCAGTGTCAGCTTTGTTAGAAGCTGCAGGCGTCCTCTTCCTCTTTTTCTTCGACAGAATTCCCATCCGCCAATTGCATTTCTTTTTCTTCTTCTTCGCATAAACCTTCTTGGTAATCATATCAGGCGACAATCCAGCTGGCAAGTCATCAAGGTCTACGTCGCTTCCTTTGCTTGCCACGGATGTATCCTTATCCGTATCGCTCTTTGAAGGTACTAGCCCCACCAGAATATTACTCAGCAACTCCTCATTAGCGTTAGATTCTATCTGCGCTGCATCGTTCGCTTTCTTTCCTGAAGCGACACTGCTAGACATGGAAATATCAGAAACAATACTTTCCTCGTCACTAAACTGATCATCCACCTTGCTTTCAGTAACTGATTCATTTCCCTTCTTCTTTGCGGCCTTCTTAGACGCACTCTGATTAGATTTTTTCTTCTCAGTTGTCTCTGGCGTTTCCGACTCTACTTGTTTATCAGGATGAAGGGAAATGTCTACAGCTGCAGCTAACTCTGAAACATCTATGCCAAAACTCTCATCAGACGAGCTGTCGAACATTACTTTAGAGTTATCCAGCTTGGATATATCTGTTTTTTCGACGACCACGCGTGGTTCTTTGATCGTTTCCTTGTTAACAATTCGTTTACTTCTTCGCAACATGTCGGAGTCGTCGCTACGAGAGTCCTGGTTGGACAACATGTTCACATTTTGAATAAGTTCCGTTCTAAAAGCAAGTGGCTGATCCTCCTCGCTGTCCGAGCTCGGATACTGTTTGATACACTGTCGAGTGACTCTCTTCGTGTCTTTCTTAGATTTGCTCTTTGACTTATTTAATTCCTCCGACGTACGAGACTTCTTCTTTTGCTTGGACGCATCCAATGCTTCCTCAGTATCTGACTCTGCGTCCGGTTTACTTGACTCGTCTTTCTTTGTGGTTGGCGTACTTGGACTGGAAGTGGATGGAACAGAGTTAGGCTGAGTTTGCTCTTTCTGCGTTCGACAGAGTCGATGACCGGTTGCAGCCACAACGCCATCGCAGATGAACATCTCCCTTATATCCTCCTGTAACATTTCCAGAGAATTTCTCCTCTTTGCTTTCGCTTTGGGTGTTTTGGGTCTATCTTTGTCCTCCAACGATTCATCTTTAACGGAGTCCTTAGTATCTAGTGTATCCTCCACTTTCTCTGCGCTTACCGTGTTCTCTTTGGTTTCGTCTTTCACTTGAACCTCATCTTTAACTACCGCCTGTTCCACGATTTCGCTTTTAGGCTGAACATCAGAGGATTCGGTAGATACTTTCTCAGGCTTTTTATCCACTTCCTCTTTCTGATCATCAACACTCTCATTCTCTTTACTCTTCGCTTTCAAGATATCCAATCTTTCAGCAAGGGACTCTTCGTCCGAGCTATCCGAAACGATCACTCGTCGTTTCTTCTTCGTCAACACCTTTTTCGTGTCAGGAGCATCGTCCTTGTCGGAACTACTACTCTCCGATTCGGACTCGATAATTTTTTTAATCTTCTTCAACTTCTTCGCCTGCAGTACTTCTCCCAGTTTCTGCATGAACTTCGCTTGCTCCACGAACTTCTTTCCCTCGCCAAATTCGAAGGACTTTCTGATCAAAGCCTCGATCCATTCTTGCGTCACTTCATCCTTCGATTTCGGCCCCTCCGATTCCGCGTCCTCCTTCTTTTTCTCTGCGCTCTCAGCAGTTTTCGGACATGTTGTACTAATGGAATCTGACTCTGCGATATTTGAATCGCTCTTATCTTCCACGGTCGCAGAAGACTCCTCCTTTGGATCCTCCTTCTTGTCACTGATATCGCTACTGTCGTTCCAGTTCTCCGATTGTATGTTTCCGTCGCTGCTGCTGCTCACTTCCGCCGTAGCGTCATCCTTATCCCTCTTGATCGCTTTGCTTTCTTTATCGCACTCGCTCTTCGCCTCTTCAGAAACGTGGCTCGAGGTCGGCGACTCTAGCGACTCGTTACGTTTAATTTTCGGGATTTTGAAATTCTGCAAACAATAACCTTGCGCGGACTTCGCTTTCGTGTCGATAACTCCGTACAGAGTCTCCAAGGGCGACTGCATTTTCTCTTTACTCGATTTGTCCTGTTTTCCAGAATTCTCTGCATCCGTTCGCCTATGACCCTCGACCGGTTTCGGAGGGGACTTCAATTTCTCCTTCGATTTCCGGAACGAGGATGTCGGGAACACCGGCGCAGTCGGACGTTTCCGCGAGTTCCTTTCGTTAAAAGTACTGTCCTTATTCTTGGCAGGTGGGAAGTGTTTGTCCTTCGCCAATCGAGGGTCCCTCACCGAAGTAACATTGTCCCTCGGCTGGTTGGGGCTCTGGTTCATTGTATTGTGCTCCGCACGAACCCTTGGGTCGCGGTCGGATATATTTCTAGCGTCCCTACCGAAACGGTTGCTATTATCCCACTCGTTGTGATTGGCCCACTCAGGCCTACGAGAATCGCGGTTAAAATTGTTCCTCGGTTCCGCTCTACTCCTATCGTTATAATAGTTGCGACCTCTGCCACCACCCCGGTCTCTGTCCCTGTTCCAGG